ATTATTATTATTATTATTAGCAGATAAAGGTTTTTGGTTGAAAAAATTAAATTACACTTTCCATTTATTTTAATTTTTAATAGTTTTGAATGGAGAAATCATTGGCTGATTATATGTTTTTCGTGATGTATCATGACCTTGGTGAACGAAGATGCTGGAGGATTTTCCACATCTGTTATAGGCCCTCTCACATCAGTTGTAGTAAACAAGTGAATAACCCCCGGATCTGCGCTAGAATTTTTCATGTCAAAAGCTGCATGGGCGTTACCAACACCTTTTCTTCAAACGAGGATTTCATGTGCCGTGGCCCAGCAAGACGTTGGCAGTTATTGAGGTATGTATGTATCTGCATGAAAGGTAAAACATTAAAACTTAGCTATTTGGAATTGTTTATGTCTATGTCTCTATGATACGCATATGTGTGTAGGTGTGTGTGTGTGTAAAAGTTTAGTCGTCAGTCACCCGGAGAAAATGTATTATCCACGACCAGGATAAAGACTAGCGTCGACGCTACTATATCTTGGAGCAAAATATAAAAAGAGAAAAAGGAAAGATATATTTTTATAATACTTAAACAGCGCCATCTAACGGCGTCTTGGATGAATATTATGTTTCCCTATGTGCCTATAATATTCGATTTGTTTTTCTGTTATCCTAACAGGAACAGTTTGAATGATACGGTAGAGATGCGAATTATTAAAATGACGAAAGGATACTTATTTGAAGTACTGTGTTATCAGTGTGTTGTTATGAAGAATATGTTGGTAGTGTGCTTTTCACGTTGAAAAGAGAGATCAGCGGTTTTTTGCAGCCGTTTAAAGATTTGTGGTTGTTTTCCAATGATCCAGTAGCGTTTATTTTGAAAAGAACCATTTTACCGTCGATTTTATTTTGGTGACACAAGCGTATCAGCTGGAGGAATGCTTTAACAGTTACAAATTTGTTGAGCTGATGCTAGAGAAATTGATACTGAGTGTCGAAATATGTTAGCTTAGAACTTTTGAAGAGATTTGGTATGATTGTTGATTTTTCGGAGCTTCTTGTGTTTCCGGTGTCATTAATGGATCTTGCAGATATCTTCGTCGTTCTTGCGAATTTTTGAAGTGTCAGTGAATCGACGGATGTTGAATTGAATTACATCTAACTATTTCTGTGAAGTCTGCAATGTTTTAAATTCTACCGTGTGATAGAGTTGAAAATCGACTTCTGAGTTTGAGTGGTATCTCGTGTTTTCAGATATTTTCTTGTGTGGTCCGCGTAATGATTCCATGTGAACTTTGGGCAGTATTTTTATGGCCCATCCACTTGATCACGACAACACATATGTCCATCCACTCGGTCGGGGCACCCAATCTACGCACGCTCTTGATAGCCGTACTAGCAATGTTCACCTCATTGTCGTGAGCATCAAATAAGTAGAGAAGTACGTTGCAGGCAGTGTTGTTTTTCGTCCGGTTGAGTTTTCCACCAGCCACTGGTCCCTAGATAAAGTTGTCTTGATTCATTGTGCAAAACGTGTCTCTTGAAGCACTTTCTTGTACAACTGGGCGAGCCGTAGTTTCTGGAAGCTTGCTCGTAAAATGAACAGATTATAAGCAGAGAAACAAAATTAACGCCGGTGTAACAATCACCAACAATTTAATAGCATAGGCTGTCTAAAAAGGTTACAGTCACTCTTAGTTGAATTTTACACTAAAACCTTCAGATATCGAGAAAGGGATAATTGCTATATTAGACGAATGTTTTGTGGGTTGGTATTTCTTTTGGCCTGAGAAGAGAAGAAAAGGAGCGACAAACCTGCAGGGAGAAATTATGCGTGCTTTGGCCCAACTCATTTCGAAATCCCTGCACAACTGTGGGCAGATCACTGTGGACGAACTAACTGCGTGTTCTTCAGGTCAACTTTGCCTGCATTCTTGGCGTACGCTACTGCGTGCTTTGGTTTATGTACACTTCCACCCGGTTGATGACATTTATGGGTATGATCTCTAAACAAAGAACTTCCTATTAGCATTGCATGTGACTCATGTTTCTGAAATACCCAGAGTGAAATATTTTGATAAAAAGTCAATGTAAGTTAGACAGAAAATAACATTTCACAATTTCATTTGGATTTTGCAAAATGTTGGTAAACATATTAATCCTATCATCGCAACTCCCTCGGGTATGAGAAGTGAAGCAGGGAAAATTCAGTTGTACTGAATTTACTAAATCTTACGGGGTTTATTTTGGGTTCAAATCACACATGCCATTCTCCTAAGCATAAGTTGTGGTTAATAATTTTAAACCGGACTTCCAATCTGATTAACTAGTCTTCTATAATTTTTTACACTTGACATTTTTATTCCTTCAGCAAGTATTCTAGGCTCTTTCAATATCTCAAATCACTAGACGACGTTTCATTTACTATTATGACTCCATCAGGACCACTCCCCTGTTACATTATGAAGAAAATGAGCTGTGTTTTGTTGTGTTTGTGAAAGTAGTAACTTTTTTTTTGTTGTTGCTTAAAAGTTTGTCAGAAGAAAATTGGTGTATTTTTTATTTGGTGAAGCGTCCCACATGGTCAGTCAAGTTGTTTAATGAAAATTTCCAGTCGCGTTTTTATTGTCGAATATTTACAGTGGTTCGTTTCATGTAAAAAAAGATGCTTTGCGTTTATTTTTAATTTTTTCTCAACAGGTAAAATTTTGAATTACTGAAATGCTTGATTTATATGCGCACGTGTAGCAAAGTGCTTCTTCAAGTTCCAGTAATTTCTCCGAGATTCGTGAATTTGCTTCGGCTTGCTTTTACGTTTGTCCGTGAGAGGCTGTGGGTAGCAGTACTGGTTAAATTTTGATATGTCTGCCGATGGTAGAATTAAAAGCAACGGTCTCTCAGTGTTGTTGATAACAACAGTCGTAGAGGAAGGGATAGAATAAAAGAAAGCCAGGCGTGACTGACTGAGAAAAGAGAAAGTGCTAAGAAGCAACAGTAGATATGAAGATTGTGTAGCTTGCCTACCGACCGAGCCAAAAGGAAGTCGTAGTGTCTGTCTGAAATTTTTATAAGTGTTGAATTTTTATAAGAAAATTTGTTGATTTTTAAGTTCCATCTTGTAATGTTATCTTGTGGCTGCATTTTGCAATTTCCTTGTTCATTTCACGTCGGGTTTCTCAATAGTTTCTTACGGTCACTACTTGTAGCTCAACTAAAACAGCGGTAAACAAATTTTTCACATGTAATTAACGGGATGTCATCATGTGTAGAGATAAAAGGAAATGGAATAAATTTAATCACGGAGATATTTTCGTGTATTTTTACATAACTAATAAATTATTAACAATAAGAAATAGTGTGTACACAGCTTAAAAGGAAAGGGAAAACATTAAAACTTAGCTATTAATAATTCTCTCTCTCTCTGTGTGTGTGTGTGTGTGTGTGTGTGTGTGTGTGTGTGTGTAAAAATTCAGTCTCTCGGAGGAAATATATTATCTCTGACAAAGGCTAGTATCGACGCTGATACATCTTAGAGCAAAAGAAAGAGAAAGAGGAAGGAAGAGGAGGAGATATGTTTGTCTTTTTAAACAGTGCCGCTAAACGGCTTCTTAGCAGACCAAGTGGGTGTAATCACCACACAATAATTTTCTGTTGTCGTAGATTTTATGTTAGAGCTTCCTTCTTTTAGACAGATGGCAGAGCTGAATGTTGGGGGATCTACTGTCCCTCCAAAGGAGTAATCTGGCAGCATAACTGAATTGTGTAACTGTAAATTGTCATACCACAAATTATTATAGTCTGTTTATTTTTTTATGTAGTATTAAACTTTTTTGTTATGAATAATATACACTTGAGGGGTGCGTAAAATTATACAAGAAGTGTCTATACATTGAGTCGGTGGTAGCCATTATTCAGCATTGATTTTGGGTTCGAAATATGTACGTTAATTTTATTAAAAAAATATATATATTAGCAAAAACAAATCCGTTGAGGAAAATTACATGACTATCGACTGCTTTTTATTTTTATTTTCTGGATATCAACTTTTAAAACCGTATATTGTATTATAAATGGCACGATTAAAACACAATGATGATGCAGACTATCTCTCACGTTAAGCGTTTCAATAGCTAATCTCGTGCATAGCCTGTGTATTCATAGCCAATGAAGCCACCATTTTGGCCGTGCGATTTAACTGAAAGGAAACATGAACCTGTTAAAAGATTTGCAACAGACTTTTTCATATTTGGAAAAATTACTTCTTGCCTACTGTACAACATGCAAAATACGGAGGTTTGCTGAAAAGTTCCCAGACCAACCAAGAAACTACTACTACAAAAAAAAAAAAAAAAATATCTTTGGTCATATTTTTGGGAAGTGAGTCGAGAAGAAAACTTTTCAGCACCCCCTTATTAGCTTAAAATGTTTTATAACATTTAAAGATAAAAATGAGATTTTGCGCCCCAAAACAGCAATCAAACAAACGCTACTATTATTTTTTCTCGAAAATTGTGATTAAATTTTTGCGGATTTACACACACACATATATATACACACACACACACACACACACACACATTTTTTAGTTTTTATTTAAGAAGAGCATAAAATTATGTTGTGCATCTTTCATCATCATCAACCTTTGAAAATTCCGGATACGATCTTAACGCAAGTAGAACGTAAAAATATTGCTTTTTAGACAAAAATCTCACTTCTTCCCGTCACTCTCTCATTTGATAAGCACTGACGCATCGGGAATTATTTTTTTTGGTGTCGTTGCAACTACTATGAACACATTGAGTAGACGTAGCATTGATTATTCTCTCTCTCTCTACAACAACCACCACCATACTTTCGGCCTTGTGTCACATCTTAGCTACTCTTAGTAAATCACTATACAACAATCACGATTCATCTTTCATTTATTCTGAAACATACAATAATTTGAACATCATTGTTTCTACTTACGCTGAAAAACACTCGAAAGGCAACCACAGGCAGTCACTGTTGAGAGAACAATGTTACACACATTCACTACAACAAGGTATGCATATCGTATCATACGTATAGACATGCATAAATCAACGAGAAAAGTATATGCATAAAAAAATCAATTTTTTGTCTAAATTTTGGACATGTTAGGAAGGATTAAAATTTAAAAATAATAAAAAAATATTTTGGTCTTTCCTAAACATAGACTAAAAAAAAATTGTTTTCATCAAGTTTGGGGCCTTTTTCATCAGGGTATGCTCTTTTTAGTGAATTAGTGGAGATACCTACACTGAATTACTGTGTAAAGATTACATGTGTGTATGTAGAGAGAGAGAGAGAGAGAGTGTGTGTGTGTGTGTGTGTGTGTGTGTGTGTGTATTATACGCACTTAAACAGAGTAACTAGCTGACTTGCTAATCCCAAATGATGGTTACTTAAATAAATTTGGTTCAGAAATTGAAAGTAAAAATAGCGAAGTAAAAACATTAACATTTTTACAAATATAATCACATACAAGTAAAAAAATCTGCTAGTCACTGCTACTAACACAATAATAGCGTACAAATAGAAAGATTCTGCCGAAGATACTTTCTCTATGTTGCATATATGGACACATACTTCATGCCAATTTTGCTACAATTACAGATAGAATGTTCAGCCTGCTCGTGTTTCTTACTAGATGGGTTATCTTTATGACAAATCGCAGTAGTAGTAGCAGACATAGACAACAAGCAATATTTGTAATGTAGTAGCAACAATATTAGGAGTAGCGGTAATACTAAATGTTGTGTAGAATAGAGAGAGAGAGAGAATATCAGCACGTAGTGACTGATTTCTCGTGCTAACACCTGCTGCTTCTGCAGCACGTCGAGCTGTTGATATAAAAACTGATGGAAGTAAAAAAAAAAAAAAGGAAAAGAAAAAAAGGAGTAACAAACTTAACATCTCATAGGCATTGAAGTAAAATCCGACTTTACCAGCACTAAAAAAAAAAAATTGTCAATCGACATTTATTTGCATTATTGAACTTTAATTAATTGGCGATACAGTGTAGTACTGTATAAAAAAATTTATTCTTGACAACTTGCTCATGATGACATTATTAACATTGTCGCTTGTATTCTTGTTTCATTATCAGGAAAGTTAAGGTTCTTGGTTGGAGCCGTCAATTTGTTCGTCTTAACTGATTGAATGTCGAAGACGTCGATCTCCCCGACCCTGAAAGCAGGAACTTTATTTGTGCTTACAATTTATCTTGTCAGAAGACTAGAATTTCATTTTCGTAACAAGCAGTTGCAGTAGTAACGCCACGAGTTGAGAGATAAATGTAGTCTTATGTTTACCTTTCCTTTTTAACAACATTATCGCCATATAGCTAGTGTAAAAAAAACTCTTACCCTACCGACTTTCTTATTTTATTTTGTTTTTTTATTCTATATAGTTTCTCCTGGGCTGCTGGACAGCAACGACAGCCATATCACGAAAGAATTCTTCACCAATAGTTCCTTGATAGGTAAAGCAACACTTACCAAGTAATTCAAGAGATTTAAGTGATGACAGTCCTTCGACGAAACATGTTTCGATACCGTCGCTCGCGAACTGTCCAGGGCTGTGCCTTAGGGGTTGGTTTTATGTTAATATTTGCTTGGAAACTCTACTGGCCTAATATCTATCAATCTGATGTAATGCTCCCTACACAAAACCAGGAATATTTTTTTGATCCATTGAGTAAAGATGACGTTCTGGGATTGTCTGACCAACTCTTACTTTGGCAAAGTAAAGGTAAGTTATGCTTCATTTTTTTTTTCTTTAATTGATTTGTGTTCATCAGAATTCCAGATGAAAATATTTTTGTTCTAGCAGCACCATACTTGCCTGTCTTGATAAACATTTCATTATGCAATTGACTTTTATACCAAAGTTAATGCATGTCTCTTAATTTCAATTCCATGTATTTTTTTCTAACAAAAAAAAAAACAAACTGCAATACGAGTTTTACATGCTGCTCATGTTGTACTAGTTGACCATCATCTCTTATATATAAAAAAAATGTGGATATTACACACACACAGCAAATTTTACCCCAATCTTTCCAGAAAAAATATTCAGTTTGACAGCCGCTCCAATCAGTCAAAGTGAAAAATCTGTCACACAATCTACCACTTAAACAGCATGAATTATTCAAGCTGTGACGGAATTCGATATGCGCCATGTCAACAGGATTCGTCTTTTGCTATATTCTTTCCATTTCATCATCACAATAAGAATGTTTATTTTTTTAATTATTTTTTTACTCCATAATTAATCCCTTCTTCTGGTAGCTTCTCTTCTATTCTATACACAAACCGAGTTCTGATCATGACTTTCAGTAGAGAAAGATGTTTTATGGTATCGAAATTTGAAGTGTTTTTTTTTTCTGAGAACGTATTGTCAGCAAAATGATTTTGTAAAACATTTTTAATTCTCCATTCACTTACGTTTTTATTTTCTATTTCTAAACTTCAAAATTCCATCGTTTTTCGCTCGATTTATTTAGTCGTAAAATTATTTCACTTCTTTGACTTTAATATTTTTCCTTCCGTTTAACCGCTTTTAAAAATATGATTTTTTTTTCAATCTTATATTAATGAATGTATTTATTTTACAATCTTTTTTTCATTTTGGGCAATGAAAGAAAATCTGTAATTTCTTAATTTTCTTATTTTATAATGATTTTCTAATATCTACATAAATTCATATTTAGAAAGCAAAGAAGATTTTTGCGATCATCCAAAGGTTTTTTAATCTTCAAAGCCTCCATTTTGACATCACAAATCATTGGTATGCTGTGGGCTCTTCATAATAGGAAGGGAAAACATTTCCTACAACACCAAGGAAGGGATATCCGGTGGTTGTAGGAAATAGGAAAGCATTCTACCCAATTGGACTAAGTAAAATGTCAAGCATATCAATATCTCCCTTCATTAATATTGTGACTTAACCTTGACTACATCCCAGTTTTTCTAAAGTTTCTAGTTAAAAAAAAGATCATTCCTTAATTCCATTGAAAAAGCATTCGTTAAATCCGTGTTGTGAAGTCAATCATGTAAAGAACACCAAATGACTTCAATAGAAACGATTTTAATGAATGAATGACTGGCACTTTTAAACTTTTTTTTCTTACAAAACCTTGGATATTACTTTTTAAATCTTGACCATAATTCGTTGATTAGTTGATCTAGAAAAATCAGGCTAAATTCTACTTGTGCGAAAATAACTTTGATCTAATTATTTTGGAACAACTGCCTTTTCCGTTTTTTTCTCCCCGAAGAATACCCAAATAAAAATCTAATACTCTCTCGAGCATTAAATGTGCATTCGACTTGACTAAGAAACAAATGACACTTACGAACCCTGTAAACTAACTTCATAAAGTAGAACTAACTTTAGTATAAAACGCAAAGGTAAGTTAAACGTACCCACATCCATTATTTATACTGAATAAAACGCTACACGATCAATATTTTTTTTTAAATCTCCAAATTCATTTTGAAAACAGTTTTATCTGTAAGAACGATAAAAAGTTTAAAAAATAAACGTACACAAACGTAAATTATAGCAAAGATAAGCTCGCAAAATTCATTTGCGCATTATCACTTTTAAGCTAATAACTGTCATTGTCTTTCTAATTAATATCGCATATCAATTCTTGTCAGAGTATTGAAGTCATTTTTGACTAAAACATTACGTTGAATATGACAAATATTTAATTGCGATTTATTCGTCAGTGACTTCGATAGATACTCAAAACGAACTTGATCTTGGACACTCTTAAGATTCTTTTAATTCTTTATAAAGGTAAAGACGACGAGACCTACGTTCCTGTTTGCTCTGGCTTTGTTTGAATGCAAATTAAGACTAGTACAGCTAAATGTATAATTAAATAATACTCCCCCACAACCCACAATAACGAAATTGTTTGGTGATAATTGAAATATTTTAGAAGCCACAATAATTAAATTTAGGACGGGAAAACTCACCATCAGTGTTTCAGATTTTCTCGAAAACTATTGAGTCTCGAGTGACAGTTGGAATCAATATACAGAAGGGGATATTGAAAGCCCCCTTCCTCCTGCAAATAAAAGTTTGCCATCTGATCAAATTTTGGGACTCATAATGCCTTCTTAAAATTTAGAATGATGGTCATAGTTTGTGATTTTCTTACCAGTATTTAACTTTCCAATTTTTTTTTTTCGCAGTCTCAAAAATAAAGGGGGGGGGTAAGCTTCATAGTGTTAGACATAAAAAAACACAGATTTTTACCATAATTCTAACTTTTTGTTTTACTCTTTAACACAAAAAGCGATTTCTCCTCTAAAAGATCATTCCTGGTGATGCTTGTTAAAGATTGTTTTTACCGAGAAATCATTAAATGGCTTCGTTCTTGGATTGGCACAAGATCACGTTGGAAAAACAAATTTTTATTTCTCTACCCACTACAATCAATTTTTCTCTTTCAAAACTTGCTTTGGTTGTCATATCTACATATGTAATTATCTGATCGCTCCCACTTCAGGAACAAACATATAGTATATATTCCGCATTTAAGATGACTCTGTCTTTTGCTTATCTGAATGAAATAAATAAATTCATTGTTGCAAGACACTTATAGAAATGTTGAAAGACAGTTCTGGGTGGATGAAATTAAATCACTTGAAAAATAAAATAGTGGAATAATATAATTAAACGAAACTAATTTTTTGGCCAAGAAAATTCTATTGGATTACGTGATTATTTTAATTTTTATTAACTTTACTGAATAACATACCGATTTTTGCCATCACCATCACTGCATAAGGTTTGTTTTACGACAAACCTTACGCAGTGTTTAAATTTTCTTTACCATAATAGGTGAAGCTTGTAACAAAATTCAAACTTGAACTTTACTTTCAAAGCCTGTTTGACTGTAAGTTTGGAAAACCTTCAGTATTAATGAGTAAAAAAAAAAAAAATCTGTAAATCAACACTTTAGGTTCGAATAATGGATGATCACAAAAGCAGACCTTTTTTTACTACGAAGGTGAATCATAAGTTGTAACTTCCTGTTTTCGTGAACCTAATACTAAGTTGATCATTAGCGATTCTTTTGAATTACTGAAGTAACCCGACATCCAATCAAACAAAACTATTTATTTGACAGAGCAAGCAAATTTAAAAAAAAAAAAAAAAAATACCACAAGGGAAAGAAAAAATAGTAGGAGCTGTTGATATATTTAACAAATTTATTTCCGATTCAGTTGACACACGGAGTGACGGACTTAATCTAGTTAGTTTTTAATCGAGACAAGAAAACATATTTTCGGTAAAATAAGAGCCACTATCATAACAGGATACGTTAATTTTTTTTTTTAATTGCTTGATTAAACATTGATATTTTTGAAGATTATATCAATTGGCAATATGAGAAAAAAAAACTTGTTTCAGTTTAATGAAAAATTTCTACGAAAGGTGTTTTGAAGATTTTGCAAATAAATGAACAAGAGGAGTCTTAATGGGAAAGAAATATTATGGCAAACCAATGATTTTATCAACAAAAGCATCTGTTTTGAAAAGAAACCTTATAGAAAGGTTGTGATGAATCAAGTGTAACATATGAGCTTCTATCGTTTTCCTCTTTGTCGTTCCAGATAATGGTCATTCTTAAGACTTTTAAATATCTGCGATAAGCCAAGGCGTACAAATACGAACAATTACCGCCTCGTTGTGTGTACCTTTTTTTTTTTTTTTATTGTACTATCACAGAATGTATTTATAAACTCAAGCGATTTGTTCTCGTTAGCTCTACTTTATGAATTCTTAAAAGTAATAATCCCAAATCCGATGGAGAGATAGAATTTGGGGGCATTTCTCTTTGCAATATTATTACTTATAAAGTTTTTTCTTGGTCATTATTTTCTGTATTACCGCGCTAAGAAATAAACAAACTCCAACCCAAGCCTTTTTTTTTTTTGTATGATCGTCTTTTCTACTGAAAAGGACGTGCCAATAAGAAATATTTATACATAGGTAAATCAATAAGTACAAAGCCTAATGATGCAAAAATATAGCATTTTTATTTTTTACACATCGAATATCTTTCAACAATATCCTTCTTTGTCAATGCACTTAATTCATTGGTGAGCATTAATCACATAGATCTAACATTATACAGTGAAAATTTTTCACCGAAATTCAGCTAATCAGTATCAGGCTATAGACTTGATATTCTTCAAGGAGATATGCAATTAACGTCACTCCCTCCTCACTTTTTATGAAATGTCGTATTACACGTAAGTACATGAACTATTTGCACAAACTTATAGTTAACTGAACAGGATATTCAGAACTTATTTCTATCTGTCAAAGCGTACTGATATCAACACTATGGCATAAATTAAATTACTTGCTCAAAATGTGGACCAATCGAGTTTGGTTGGGCAAAGAACTAATGATCGTCTTTATTGAAAGATTAATCCTTTACATCATCCTTTGAATTTCACTAGAATCAAACAGAACTTTGGCTTGTATTTAATTTTTGTTAGTACAATAGTTTTACGTAAATATTTGATACTATGGCAGTTTTTTAAAATTTTTTTTTAGAAAAAGTATCTAACCTCACTATACCGACTGACTTCCATGTGCCATATCTCAAGACATTGATCATGGCCCTCCACAACTTTCTAACTTTCGTAGCTCTAAGTAATGATTGTCCTTTCACTCTTTGTCCCATCCATTTAAACAAGATTAAGCAGGTTACTTTAAAA